GAGTCAAGAAGTTCTGAATTTGAATCCTGCCTCAGACACACTACCTATGTGATCCTGGACAACTCTCTTAACCACTGTCTGCCTCAGCTTTCCTTATTTGCAAAATGGCAATGATAATAATAGCACCTACCTCCCAGGAGTGTTGTGAGGCTCAAATGAAATAATCTATGTAAAGTGTTATGTAAATGTTATTGTAGATTATTATATTATCTTTATCATTATTGTTATTATTATTATATCATTAGAGATTAAATAATCCTGGACTGGGTATCACAGTCCTTGCATTCGGGCAGAGAACCCAGTACTTAGGAGCTTTGTGACTGAGATACATAGAGTATTGCTTTGGATTTGGAAGGGGCAATACAGGTCAGCTAGGCCAACTCTCCTTTTAAAGAAGAGACAAGGAAATCCCAGAGAAGAGAAGTGATTTGCTCTTGGTCATTTGGTGAGTAGCAGAAACGAGGTTTGAGCCCAAGTCCTCAGACTCCAAATCCAAAACACCACACTTTCTTTTCTCTGCTTTTTTTTTTCATCTGTAAAATGGGGATAATGCTTTCAGGACCTATCTGACAAGGCTACGTGAGGGGAAAAGCAGGGACCCTTAGCCGAAGGAGACATAACAAGTTAATGACAGAGTGAGGCCCTTCTACCAGGTCTCCTGACTCCTAATCCTCTCTCTCCAGCTTCTTAGAGAAGGGTGGGTGGTGGGTGGAGACACTTGGAGTCTCTTGTCACCCTTACCTCGGAGCTCTCCTCAACCTCCTCCTTCCCGCACCACTCAGGACTGCTTTGTGCGTCTCCCTTTCCCCCATCTCCCAGTGTCTTTTTTCCACTTAGAACCGCAGCCTTTGGGAGTCAGGGTCTTGCTTTATCTCTCTTCCCCGTCCATCTCCATCTCCTTACTCATCTCCTTTGGTCCTCTCCCTCTCTCTTCTCCTCTCCTCCCCTCCCTAGTCCTCCATCACTTCCTCTTCCCCTCCCTCCTCTTCTCCTTTGTCCCTCCTCCCTCCTTCCCCCCACCTCCCTAGCCCCAGCGCCAGCCCCAGCCCCAGCCCCTGCCCGTCCCCGGCCCCGCCCCGGTCCGCTCCAGTGGCTGTGCGGGAGGTCGGGCCCGCCCCCTCAATAGGCCCCGGGCCGGGCTGTGGAGCCGGAGCGGGAGCCGGAGCCGGAGCCCGGAGGCCGGGCCGAGCCTGGCCGGGCCAGAGCTGGAGCTGGAGCCCAAGCGCCCAGGGAGGTCCAGGCTCGGCTGGTGAGTTACTGGCTCGGGGCCAAGCTGAGGTCGGGGAGCCGGAGGCGGGGAGAGTGGCCCGGGCGCTGGGAGGCACGCTGCGCTGCGTGCGGGGGTGATCTGGGGGTGCAGGAGCAGGCGGGGGTCCTTCTCCCCTTCCGGCTGTTGTTAGGTGTGTGTGTGCTCGCCCAGCACTGGGCAGACTGCCTTGGGGTGAAGGTGCTGTCGTGGCTCTGTGGCTCCCCGCGTGGGTCTGTGGGTCTCTGGCTCCACCAGCACTGTTGGGTCGAGTACCAAACCCCAGTCATTCTCAATCCCTCCAGGACAGAGGGCGATCCTCACCGGTGTGTTGGACTGGGAATGAGAGACTAGAACACCTCTACTGAACTCCTTGTCCTGTTCTGGAAGGGAGTTGGGGTGGGGGTGGAGAGTAGGGAAAGGGTCTCTGGTGGGAGGTGTTAGGAAGGGACTATGAAGCCCCCTCCAACCTTCTGTTTCCTGCTCCAGTCTCACTTTGGATGATCCCGTCTGCCTGTTTCTCTGGCAGAGTGAGAGCAGTGGCTGTCTGTATTGTGTGCCTTTCTAAGGCAGACTCACTCCCCTCACCTCTGGTACCTCCTCTCCTGTTCCCAATATACAGCCCCCCTACTTTGGCACCCAGCCTAAGTATGGCTGGACTCCTTAGCACATTGAGGTTCGTGATTCTGCCTCTGGTGGGTGGGTGAGATACTGTTCCTGTGTTCCCTGGTTGGGGACGGAAGACAGTCCTGGGGAAAACAAAAATGGATTAGGAGCAGAGAGTAGAGAAAGAACAAGTCAAAGCTCAGATGGGCCCTGGGACAAGTTGGGGGCAGAGCAGAGGCAGCCACAGGGGCTCCAGATCTTCTCTCTCACCAAGTGCAAATAGAAAGTTAATTTGGTCCGGAACCCTATAGCGTCTGTCCTTCTAGCCTCCTTCCACTCTATTAATACAGCTCTCACCCCACTGCCTGGCATCCCCTATTTATAGCCCTGGAGGAAATGTGGTCACACCCCCTCGGCTGGAGGGAGGAGGGAGGGATGGAGTGGGTGGGATCCAATCATGGGGGTCCCACCCAGTCTGCATACTCCTTGGGTGGGCGGGGGGGGGGGGGCCGCTAAGGAAACATCAATATCTACCCTAAACCCCTTCCCTTCCACCAGGGCACTGTATGGTTTTCTAATCACTCCTTTCCCCTCCTTTCTTGGGGTTAGGCAGTCCATTTGGAGCTTGGGCCAGTTACTAAGAGCTTATCATTAGTTAACTTGTTAAATAGCTGTAAAGTATGTGTGTGGGGAGAGGGGGTGGGGCTAGGACTGGGTAACTCAAAATAGCTAGGCTTGTTATTAGTACTGATTAGTAAAGTTATGATTATTCTCATGCTGGCTCCATGTGACCAGTGGCATGGCTACAGATACCCCCAGCTGACTGTCATCCTTTAGGATTCTTGATTCCAGCATGGCTTAGGAGACCAGGAGAGCTTGGGGGCATACTAGGTTGCCACATTGTGATATTCTCTACCTTAGGGAGGACAGCAAAGCCCTTTTATATCCAAGGCAGATAACAGCATTGTCCGTGGTACTGATCATTGGCCACGCTAGGATCTTAGGATAAAACTAAAAACTCCTTCTACAGATTTGTCCATTGCCCTGGCATCCAGACACATCAGCAGCTACCAGCTTCCTTCCCTGCAGGGCAGAGGGAATTGCCAGGGCAAACACATGGCCTGAGATGCCCCCTACCCTTGCTGCCTGCCTGAGCAAAACTGTCTCAGCGTCCAAGAATGCAGTCTTCCTTGCCAGGCTCAACTGCATGTTGGCATAGAGCTTGGGGGTGCCAGGTGGCACCAGGTTAGGCAGACTGGAGGCTGGTGGGGGATGAAGGGAGTGTGTGGGCAGAGGAAAGAGTGGGTAGTGGCATCTGCACAGACCACTGAGGGTATCCCCTGAACCACCTGTCCTCTCTGCCTCTCCCTGATAGGGTACCTCCCTCAGGAACTTATGTGAATGGGAGCCCATAGTGCAGCTGGCACAGTTGTAGTGATGGAGGTGGAAAAAGATTTGCTAACTCGTGCCGGGCATGCCTGCAGGCACACCTGCTTCGGTGCACACTCCTTGGTGCTCTCGGCTACATTCCCTGGCTCCTGCTCCACCTCCCTTGACTGTGTGGGCAGGACCAGGCTTGTGCTTCTGCCTAGGAATGCGTTAGATTCTGATGCTGGGGACTGGCTTAGTAAGGGCAGGGTCCAGTGATCTTGACTTGGGTGGCTCCAGTTCTGGGGTTCCTCTGTGTCTTCTTGCCCTTACCACCCTCCTCCTGACAAAGCGTCTTCTGGACCAAAGCTTAGAATGTTAGGGCTGGAAGAGACCTTAAGGTCATTACTTTATAGCTTCTGACCTTTGAGGTGGAAGGTCACATAATCTATAAATAGCCCAGTTCTAGCCTACCCTACCCCCTTCTCTAGTCTCCTTGGGTGTCAGAATACTCTCTAGTTTAGAAAGAAACCAAGTGTCACTGAAAGGTAGCAACATGCACTGGGCCACACTGTCAGTAAAGGGCAGAATTAGAAATAGAGCCCACAGCTTTTAGCAGGATGGTCTTCTGGCTCTGCAGTTGTTCCTTCCCTACCCCCAACCCCCACCCCCAATCTGCAAATGGTACACTTTCAAACTGAGCTATCTAGAAGGTGGCATCTGAATACACATAAGCATGTTTGTATGGACACATGTCCCTGTGGCAGTGCATTGGTATCAAGCGGTTTTTTACTTACTTTACTCTGTGAACTTGTTTATAATATGTTGATTATTTACTACATTGATTTCAATATAATTGGATTCTTTTGTAATACCATTTTGTTTTATGCATTTAACAACATTATTCTGAGAAGGGGGCCATAAGCTTCACAAGACTTCCAAAGGGCTCCATTCACTCACAAAAGGTGAAGGATCCCTGGTCTGGTGCTTTACAGTGTATAAAACTTGTCTTGTGATCCCCACAACTACTCTGTGATGGAGGCAGGGCTAATTTCCCTACTTTACAGATGAAGAAACTGAGGTTTATAGAGCTTGAATGACTTGCTCAAGGCCACATGGTTTTTCTTTCCACATTTTTTTCTGTTTCGTTTTTAGGCAATTGGGGTTAAGTGACTTGCCCAGGGTCATACAGCTAGTAGGTGTCAAGTGTTTGGGCTGAAGCCAGATTTGTTCTTTTTTTTTTTTTTCTGAGGCCGTATTTGAACTCAGGTCATCCTGACTTCAGGGCGAGTGCTCTATCCACTGCACCACCTAACTGCCCTCTCCACATGTTTTAAAAATGGTAAAGTTGGGTCTAGAACTTGGGTCCTCTATCTCTTAATCCAATGCTCTTTCCATGCTCTACACAAGATGCTAGGCATGGATGTATGTTTATGGGGGAGGGGTGACTCATTTACTTGTACAAACACATGTGAAGCTTTGTTCGTGAGTCTGTTATAGTTGAAGGCATATAAATAAATGAAGGGCAGCTAGGTGGCACAGTGGATAGCATGCTGGGCCTGTAGTCAGGAAAGCTCATCTTCATGAGTTCAAACCTGGCCTCAGATACTTAAGAGCTGTGTGACCCTGGCAAGTGAGGAAAGGTGCGGCAAATGTGTGAATGCATGTATGTGTTCTGGGGTCAAAGGACTGCCTCTTGACCGGGAGGTTCATGTTGGGGGGAGGTCAAATAAAAAGAGACATCCCTAGTTCTGAACTCTGGCTTTCTCCTCTTCTACAGGCTGCATGTTGTGCCTGGGTCAGTCTACCTTCCTCCGATTTAACCACCCAGCAGAAGCCAAGTGGATGAAAAGCATGATCCCGTCTGGAGGTAGGGGCCCTGGAGCACCTTATACCCCTGCCTTAGGTAGGTACCACAGAATAAGGTGGAATCGTGAAGTCTGCCTGGCCTGGGAAAGAGCTAAGGTTCGAGTGACTTCTAGTGTCCACCATTGGGCTCCAAGAGAGCTGCCCCCTCCCACCCTGAGCACACTTGGAGTGTCAGCACAGGACAATACTCCCTGTCATCTACTGAGTGCCCAGCAGGCAGAGGGGATGCCAGGCAGCAGAGGCTCTGGGATAGATCCAGGGCAGTGCCAATTGGCTGGTATCAGGTTTTCCTGGGGATCATGTGTCTGGGAGAAAAAAGAGCTTTGCCAGCTTCACTCCCCACGATATGGTACCTAGCATGGTCTAAGGCCTGAACCCTCTAGTTATACCACTGTTGAAGTACCTTGTCTTTACCCTTTCTGGCTGCCTGAGGGGAGGCAGAAGATCAAGAATTATGCCGGTCAAATGATCATAAACTGAATAGATTGGTTCCTGCCTGCTGGCAAGCACTGAAGTTCTCTACCTTGTGCCCCACCCCCAGAGTGCACTCTGCCAGCTGGTGACTCAGTCCAGCAGCTAAGGCTAGTGTGTGAATTATTGATTTTTGTAGGAGAGGATATGAATTACCCATGGGGCCTGGGTCTACCTCCCTACCTCTATCCAGCTAACACAGGGTGGGGAGAGAGACATCCTTGGCTTTCTTTTTAACCTGACACATACAACCCTTCCATAGTTATTACCTTTAGGGGAAAACTTAATGTTAGAGGCAAGAATAAGATGGCATAGCTTCCGTAGCCATTAGGCCTAGGCAGGAGATGTGAGGGAAGGTGGTTCAGACTGATGCCACCTGTGCCTAGAAAAATGCCCACTTCCCTTTGCCTGCCATTCTACCCCAGGCTCCTTAACTCTACCTTTGGGTTTCCATGATGGTGGTTCCCAAACTTGTGCTAGGAATGACTTCCTTCCCTTTTTGGTCCTCGTTAGCACAAGCTTTTCTAATTCCCTGGGGATTTATATGACTGGGTCCCTGGGCTACATCTTGCCTGAGTTTCTCTCTCTCATTCCTCTTCTTCCTTCATTCACCTGCCCTTCAGCCTTACTGTGGGCCTGTCTGACTGAGGCAAGTAGTGGTTCTAGAGCTGCCAGGGTGGCAGTGGGAGGAGAGGAGAGGCTAGGCAGGACAGGAATGAAGAGCTCCTGTGGCTAGCAGCTTAATGGGCATAATTGAAGTCATAGAGCTGTACCTAGATGTCTGCTTTAGCTTCCAGGAACTGGCCATTAGCACTAGATCCCGCCCCACTGGCCTCTAAATGCTCCTGATTGGTTGCAGATAGTGCCACCTCCAGCCTCCCATTTCTCCTTTGTGGGAAGAGGGAGGCAGGTGATTTTTTTCCCTCTCCTTGAGGGAGCCCTGAATTGGATGGGAGGGGTGTGTGTGTGTGTGTGTGGAATATTCAATGTTTCCTAGCCTAGGCCCTGCCAGGTTATGACCGTTTTGGGTACCTGGCCTAGTTTCCTTGCAGACTTCTCTCATCTCCGTAGCATACTGTCAGAACCTACCCTTCTTGCTGGGAAGGTAAGTGAGGTTGAGGAAACCAAGGCACTGGAAGGTGTTTAGTGAGGAATTCAGGCTTTAGGACCCAGGGATGCTCAGCATTTCATTCTCCACAGTTCTACTTCCTGCTGTTCTCTGGGAATTAGAATAATTTAGTTCAACATTCTCACTTTACAAGTGAGGAAACTGAGGCTCAGGGAGGTTAAGTCATTTGACCAAAGTCATATGGATAGCTAGAATCAGAGCCTAGCCTAGAACCTAGGTCTCCTGTATGCACTGGGAGAGGAAGGGTAAAGCGGATTAGAAGTAGGGATCAGGTAGCAGACCCAGTAAGAGATTCAGACCTGACTTAGCACATGACCTTGGTCTGCTCTGTCCCAGCTGAGTCAGAGAGCCTGGTGAACGGGAACCACCCTCCTCAGCCCCCCAGCCGGGGTCATGCTGCTTGCTCCAGCCACAGCTCCCTGGTGAGCTCCATCGAGAAGGATCTGCAGGACATCATGGACTCCCTGGTGCTGGAGGAGCCGGGGGCCCCTGGCAAGAAGATGCCTGCAAGCTCCCCGCTTTCCAACGGCGGGCGCTACACACTCTCCCCACCTATCAGCCCAGGGGCCATGTCTGTGGGCTCCAGCTACGAAAACACCTCCCCTCCCTTTTCTCCTCTCTCCTCCCCGGCCAGTAGTGAAAGCTGCGCCAGCCACTCACCTGGAGGCCAGGAACCAAGCCCGGCCATCCCGCCCCTGGTCCCGGCCCGCTCCTCAAGCTACCATCTGGCCTTACAGCCCCCACAGATCCGCCCCGGTGGTGCCCGCCCTGCAGAGAGCCCCCGGCTGGGCAGGAAAGGGATCCATGAAGGGCCTTCAAGCCCGGGGCGGCGGGCTCTGCTGACTGACAGTCCAGCGGCGACTGTGCTGGCCGAGGCCCGCAGAGCCACTGAGAACCCGCGGCTGGGGGCGTCACTACCCGTGGTGGCCATCAGCCTGAGTGAATACCCTGATGGCAGTGCTCGAAGCCAGGCCACCAGCATTCCTGGCAGTCCCAAGTTCCAGGCTCCTGTCCCTGCCCCCCGGAGCAAGGCCGGCACCCTCCAGGAGCGGCCACCGAGCCCGTTCCGGGAGCTGCCGGGCACTGAGAGAGCCATGACGGCCAGTCCTTCACGCCAGCTGGTGGGCAGAACCTTTTCAGATGGGATGGGCACCCGATCCCTGCAGCCACCAGAGAGTCCTCGCCTGGGCCGGCGGGGAGGTCCGGAGAGCATGCGAGAGCTCCCACCTCTGAGCCCATCCCTGTCTCGGCGGGCCTCTCCACTGTCTCCTATGCCTGCCCGGGCCACTGCAGACACTAAACTGACCAGGGAAATGGCCGACAGTCCCAGGACCCGACGCTGGGCAGCACATGCAGCCTCCTCTGAAGACTTCACCCTCCCTCTGGGAGGGAGGGGCCGTCGGACGAGGAGCCCCTCCCCCACACTTGGAGAGCCGCTGGTGCCCCGAAAGGGCAGCTTCGGTGGCGGACTGAGCCCAGCCTACAGCCTTGGCTCCTTAACGGGAGCCTCACCCCGGCAGAGTCCTCGGGCCCAGAGGAAGCTCTCAAGTGGGGAGCTCCGGGTGCCGGCTCCCCGAGAGAGAAAGAATAGCATCACTGAAATCAGCGACAATGAAGATGACCTGCTGGAGTACCACCGGCGCCAGAGGCAGGAGCGGCTGCGGGAGCAGGAGATGGAGCGGCTGGTGAGTGACCCTGGGCATGCAGCGGGCGAGGCTCCCTGGTACAGAACCCAAGACCCATTGAATGTCTGAAATGGAAGAGACCTTGACATTTTTCTATAAGTTTTTATTAGTGTCTTCTGTTTCTTACATCATCATAGTTATCCCCATTATCCTCCCCCCTCCCCCTCTCAGAGAACCATTCCATATAACAATTAGTATCTCTTTTTTTGTTTTTTTAAAAAAATTTAATTAATTTATTTTGAATTATCAACAATCACTTCCATAAGCTTTTGAGTTTTAAATTTTTCTCCCCCTCCCCCCCACCTCCCTCCCCAAGACGGGGAGCAATCTGATATAGGCTATACACATATATTCCTATCAAACATATTTTTACATTAGTCATGTTGTAAAGAAGAATTAGAACCAATGGGAGGAACCACCAGAAAGAGGAAACAAAACAAAACAGAAGGAAAAAAAAGCAAATAGTATACTCGATCTGCATTCAAACTCCATAGTTCTTTCTCTGAATATGGATAGCTTTTTCCATCATGAGGCCTTTGGAGATGTCTTAGATCCTTGTATTGCTGGGAAGGGTTAATTCTATCCATATTAGTCATCACACAACGTGGCTGAGACTGTGTACAATGTTCTCCTGGTTCTGCTCACTTCACTCAGCATCAGTTCATATAGGTCTTTCCAGGTTTTTTTGAAGTCTGCCTGCTCATTATTTCTTCCAGCACAATAGTATTCCATTACATTCATATACCACAACTTGTTCAGCCATTCTCCAATTGATGGGCATCCCCTCAATTTCTAATTCTTGGCCACCACAAAAAGAGCTGCTATAAATATTTTTGTAAACGTGGGTCCTTTCCCCATTTTTATGATCTCTTTGGGATACAGACCTAGAAGTGGTGTTGCTGGGTCAAAGGGTATGCATTTTATAGCCCTTTGGGCATAGTTCCAAGTTGTTCTCCAGAATGGTTGGATCAGTTCATAACTCCACCAACAATGCATGAGTGTTCCAATTTTCCACATCTTCTTCAACATTTATCATTGCCCTGTTTTATCAAGTTAGTCAGTCTGATAGATGTGCACACGCATCATTTCTTACAGCACAGTCATAGTCCATTAGATTCATATACTACAGTTTGTTTAGCCATCTACTTTGTTTCCAATTCTTAGCTATCATAAAAAAGTGCTGCTACAAATATTTTGGAATATATGGGGACTTTCTTCTTATCTATGACTTCCTTGGGATATAAACCTGGCAAAGAAATCAAAAAGACCTTAAAACAATGTAGATGCTGTTATAGATGAGGACCTGAAGTCCAGAGAAAAGGAAATGACTTACCCAAAGTCACACAACTAGTTAGTGGTAGACATAAGTTTAGAACCCATTTATCCTGACTTCTGGTCTGGTGTTCCCTCCATTTAAACTCTACTGCCTTCCTCTGTTTTCCTTCTAACTATGCCAGCATGAATGCCATTCCAACAGCACTGGTGAGGATCTTTAGAAACTTGGTAGTCAGGAGACCCGAGTTCATATCTTTCCTTTGACATTTGATATGACAATGATGATGACTACTAATAATGATACCTGGCCTTTAAATAAATCCATTGAAATGGTACTTTAAGATTTGCAAAGCACTTCATATATAGTATGGACCTCATAATAGCCCTGTGAGGTAGGTTCCATTTTTATCCACATTTACAAATGAAGAAACTGAAAGGATTGGACCACTGGTGTCAAACGCAAGTAGAGATGGGGACGACTCATTTGTACGTAAGGATCCCTGTGGGCTTCGTATTGATTTAGTTTTAAAATGTAATATCATCTATATTTTTATTTATTTTGTTAAATTTATCCCAATTACACCTTATTCTGGTCTGCCTACTCAGGAGTGTTGTCTGGGGTCTCGACACCTCTGGGTTAGGTGACTTACCCAGGGTCAAAAAGTTATCTTGTACTCACATTTATAAAGAACTTTATGGTTTACGAATATTACTAGCCATGTGGCCATTAGCAAGATATTTAACCTTTTAAAGCCTAAATTTTCTTATTTGTAAAAGGGGGAGAGGGGTATAATAATAAAATATAATACCCACCATGAGGGTTGTCATGAGGAAAGTGCTTTAAACCGTAAAGCATTATTGAAATGTGATATTATTATTATTAACATCATCATCAAAGAGTATAGTAAGGGATGACCTTTAAGAGCCCAGGCACCTCTCCTTTCTTCTCCTCCCTTAGGGTTTCCCTCCCCTTCCATGGCAAACAGAAGGGGGCTTAGGTGATTAGGCAGTTGTCTAGGCAGCGAATGCTCTGCCACAGTGATAGTGGGATAGGCTAAGGGCAGGTTCTGGACAGGAGGGATTTGTGGAGCAGTGACAGATACTTCCTCTCTCCCACAATCCAGCCCATTGCCCAGGACCAGACTGGAATCAGATACTTCTCTGCCCTCTGCCAAGCTTTGGTGCTCACCTGGCCAAGTGGGGGCCAGATGGTCTGAGAAGGGAGCCTGCTTAGAGAGTAGAGGGTACTCTTGGCCAGGCCCCTAGGGCCAGGTCTGTATGTCTTTCTCTCCTTGTGTGGAGGGGTCTGGGGGATGGGAAGGCCTCTGGACAGCTGTCTCTGAGCTGGCATCTGAGCTGGGTGGGGGCCTGGGATTCCCAGGATAGCTCAGGGAAAGGGAGGGTCGGGGGTGGGGGGGAAGCAGGGAGAACATGAAGGAGGAAGAGCAGATTCTCTCTATTATCCTTCCCACCCTCACTATTTTTGCTCAGATCTGGGAAAGAATTCCCCACTCTTGAGGAGGGGCTCGCCTAAGCTCTCCTTGCTGGCCTAGACTAGATCCTGGGATGTCCCTGTCCTGGGAGAAGAACAGTCACTGTGGGTTATGGAACTGAGTAGTGGGTCCAGTTCTCTTTTCCCCAGCTTCCCACATCGAAAAGGCCCTGACCTGCCCCAACCTGCCACTTTAAGGCTTGGAAATGGCCCGCCCCTCCCATCTCTGTAGCAGCTGCTTATCTGTGTCCTGAGGCAGGAGGAGGAGGAAAGAGAGCCAGCCTCCTGGGGTGGTGGGACGTGGGTTCCGGGTCTTTCTGGCCATGGAGCAGGGCAAAGAACAGGAGGGAGGCCAGGTGAGATATTGGTCTGAGCTGGTGGTAGATGAAGGGGAAAAGGAGTGTTGGGGGTCTGGAGCACTTTGGCAGGGCCAGGGGTTCTTTTGGGGGTGTGGGTGGGAGTGAGGCCCGGTCTCTTGCTTGGAGAGATGCCGTGGTGTACGTGGGCATCTTAGGGGCATGACTTGTCCCTCAGGTTGCTGAGGAGAGATGGTACCTACATCCTGCTGATGGGATAGGGCTAAGGGGCCAAGGATAGAGGGTCAGGCCATGATACAGTGATCAGATTGGGACCTACAAGACCTGGGCCTGGGAACACTTCAGTGGGATTGGGAATTAGCCCTACCCATTGGCATGGTGCCCAAGGCTCATGTTGATTTGGGACTAAGGTAGGAAGGAGAAAATAAAGCTATATCCCTGCCCTTGTATGTTTTGTATATCTCATGGTCTATGCATATGTACCTGTCAATGTGTCTCTGTGTTTTTACACATGTGACTGTCAGTATGTCCGAGTGCCTGTGTATTTTCTTGGCAAGTGTCCCACTGGGGTGCAGAATGAAAAGTGAAAGGAAACTAGGGTAAGGGTGGGGAAGGATAGCTACTCTTGTGGGCAGGCAGAAGGAGGTGCCTTTAGCTACTCGTTCAGCCCTTCCTTTCTCCTCTCCTTCCCATTCTCCCGGGAGTTCTTGGAGGTTGGACCTGAGGAGGGAAGGAGCGAGGGCCCTAAGACACTGACCAGATTTAGACCACAGTATCATAGGCAGTGCCAGAAGGGTTAACCATCCCCTGCTCCTTCATGGGATTGGGTGTTAGGCTTCCCCATTGGCATGAGAGTGGCAGAAGGGCAGTCATAGAGGATAGAGTTCTGGATTTAGGTTAGGAAGATTGGGAGGATTTAGCTGTATCCCTGTCCTCTGCACCCCCACCCCATCCACTAATCCCCCCCTGTGCCTAGAATATGGATCTAGCTTTGAGGAGAGTCATAGGAGCTCTCCATCGATGGACAGCCGGAAGGGAACTCAGAGGTCATCTAGTCCAAAACCCAGATGAGGAAACTGAGGCTCAGAGAGTTGCAGTGGCTTGCTAAGGTCACACAGGCAATAGGCATCAGAGGAGAGAAAGACCAGATGGCATCTGAGGTCTCCTTCAACTCCAGATTCTATTACCCAAACTTTCTCATCATTTGGGAGGTGGGAGTCATGGCCAGGCTTGGAGATGGGGCGTGCCATGCCTTTAGTCTTTCTTACTCTGTCCCCCTAGGAACGCCAGCGTCTAGAAACCATCCTGAACTTGTGTGCTGAGTACAGCCGGGCCGATGGGGGCTCGGAGGTAGGGGAGCTGCCCAGCATCGGCGAAGCTGCCATGGCCTTAGCCCTAGTGGGCAGAAGGCCTTCCAGGAGCCTGCCTGGGACAACCGGGGCCTCTGGACGGGGCACTGAGGAGCCCAGTGGGGCCACCCAGAGGCTCTGGGAGAGTGTGGAGCGCTCTGATGAGGAGAACCTGAAGGAGGAGTGTAGCAGTACTGAGAGCACCCAGCAGGAGGTGAGAGGGAGCCCCCGATCTGGAAGCAGAGGCAGTGGAGGGAAGGGAGGGTCTTGAGGAGGAGGGCTTAGTGAGAAGGACAGGCTTGAGATGAGGGCTGAGGTTGAAGGAGGGAATCTGGGGCTGAGAGGAAGGGCGGGGGAGGACGCAAAGGAGAGTCCAGATGAGAAATTGCATGGGAGGTGGTGGGAAGGAGTCCAGGAAGGGAGGAAATCTGGGGAATGGAGATTGGAATGGGGGGTGGTTACCAAGGTTGGGGACAAGAAAAGGAAGGGCATGGAGATGGGAAATTTGGTTCTACAAAATAGGGAGGGGCTTTGGGATGAGATACTATGATAGGGCTGAGAAATGGGGTTGGGGATGACTCATTATAAGAAAAAAGGAGGCTGAGGATAAGGGATGGGATATTGAGATAAAGAGAAGGGAGATGAGGGGAAAGGTAAGGAATAAGAGGTGAGAGGAAGGAGGGAGGAGAAGTGGCATGGGGTATAGTCTTCTAGGTTTCATAGACCATAAACTTTTTATGACCCCCCCCAACTTTGGCCTTGAGGCCCTGCCTAGGCTTGGCGTTCCTACTATAAATCATTACTCACTTTAAGTGAGTCAGCTTTTCTGTGGGGTCCCTTGGGCAGGGAAATAAGGGGAAGGTGGTTCAGCAGATGGCTGTTTTTTCCCCACCATCTTCCAGTCTGACACCCCAGAGAAGGCCTAAGGTTTGGCCCAGTCCCTCTGAGTCTTTTGGCCTCTCTGTTTTGCAGCATGAAGATGCTCCAGGCTCCAAGCTGCAGGGCGAGGTGTTGGCCCTGGAGGAGGAGCGGGCAAAGGCACTTGGGCGTGTGGAGCAGCTCAAGGGCAGAGTGAAGGAGCTGGAACACCAGCTGCAGGAATCGGCAAGAGAGGTGAGTGCTGGCGGCCTTTGAGAGGACTCGCCACCCTCCTGCCCCCCCAGGACCAAGGGCTTGGACTCCCCCAGTTGTGACACGGACCCTGGGCTGTGCCCACAGGCTGAGATGGAACGGGCGCTGCTTCAGGGGGAACGGGAGGCAGAGTGGGCACTCATGCAGAAGGAGCAGAAAGCTGTTGACCAGATGCAGGAGAAGCTGCTGGTGCTGGAGGCGGGCATGCAGAAGGAGAGGGATAAGGTAACATGAAAGTGGGCACTTCGGCTGTGTCCGAGGCACTCACTGCCTGTGCAAAATGGAAACTTGGTGTCGGTATCACCCTGTCCACCGGGGATGGGGCTTCTCTGTGCCGCCCTCATAGGTCATGGAGCCTTGTCCCTTGTGGGGGATGCCAGCTTGGGCAGGGGCACTGTCAGGGTGCTGGGCTGGTATCTGGGCCTCTCCTCTCTCTAGGTCTCTCTCTGCTGCCTCTGGGTGTCAGGGACTTTGCCAATGCTGGCTTCCCCTGGGCACTTAATAGGTACCTGGGCTTATCCTTTGCAAAGGTCTAGAACCCCCTTTTTGGTAGGGGAAACACCAATGGAACAGAGGAATGATTTGGTTTTCGATGTCCCCCCTGGGTTTGCTGAGATTCTGTCTGGCCCAGCCCTAGTGCCTTGTGCCCTAGCAGGCAAAGCCCTATTAATGCCCAGACCCAGGTAATATGGACCCAGCTCTCAAAAAAATGACTAGCCCATGTTGCCGTCTTGGTCCCTGTCCTTTTGTGCCCCCCACCCCACCCCCAGTGCCTGTCCTCTGGAATATGCAGTTTCCCCCATCCCAGATAGTCCCAGCTTTCTGCCCCTGAACCTTTCAGATCTTGTGCCAGCCTGCAGGGCCACTCCGTCCCACAGGTGCCATGCCAGCTGAGCCTGAAGAGCCCAACATCGTGCCAAGGGGGCTGAAGTGAAGAGGGGGGCATTTGTTTCTGGATCTGACATTTTTCTGAGGGTCTTTCCCCCTTTTGGAATTTTTGCAAGTCTTTTTCCTCTTCCTCTCCTTTTTTGAGGAACTATTTTTTTCTTTGATTTTTTTTTTTCATTTTGGAGCATTGGGCTCTGGGTCCCCCAAACCACACTCCCAAAGTCTGTGCCAGATTAATCCCATGCTTGCCAGCCAGGCATGCACTAACACTCTCTCTAGTAATTGTCGTGGGCCCTCCATAGGCCCTCCGCATGCCGTCCTAACTTCCAGTGCTGCCCTAGGTAGGAGTTGTGCCCACTGCCCCTAGGGCAGCTCTCCGGCTTTGCCCACTTCTGCACTAACTCCATGGGCACCTGTGTGCCTCTGACCTCTCCCCTCTAATGCTATTTCCTTCTCTTCTTGGTGTGGGACCCCGGAACCCCTAATCAGAAAAGGATGGGGGAAGGGACCTGGGGTTGAAAAATACAACTCAGATGCTCTTCTGTGGGGCATAAAGGAGGTGCAGTGTTGCGGGGAGTGCCTCTATAAGAGCCTTGACATAAACCACATCTTAACGTAATCACCGTCAGGAACTTTGAGGTACACAAGGGCTTATTCTGCAGAGCACTGTGCTAGGCACTATATGTGTGGGAGAAATGCAAAGTTTAGATAAGACCCCATCCCTGCCCTCATGAAGCTTACAGTCAAGTGAGGGTTAGCGGGGAAAAAGGAACAAACAGAAATAACTGGGGTATCTATCATTACATGATAGGTGCATTTGAGATGAAAAACAAATTGAGGACCAATAGGGGATCAAGAAGAGCAGGGAAATCTATTAGCAGTGGCAGTCAAGAGCAGTGAGAATTGTTCTGGAATAAGGGGAGACAATCAGCCCCACCCCAAACTGTTTGACCCTGTGCCTGGGGCAAGAGGAACCTGGCAGGGATGACATAGCCATGTTAGGATCCCTGCCATGGCTTCTTTATGGACTGAGGAAGGGCAGAGAGTCATCTGCCAGCCTGATAGCTGTCTCTCCCTAATCCAGAGGTCCTGATCCTTTTTGGTGTCATGAATCCCTTTGGTGAAGCCTTCTCAGAACCATGTTTTAAATGCTTAAAATGAAACACATAGGCTTACAGAGGAAAACAATTATATTGAGATTCAGTTACCAAAACTGTGAACTCAAGTTCACAGACCCCAGGTTAAAAATCCTAGCACTAGACCCTCTTTTTGGTACCATTCCCAGAACTGGGCACTTCAGCTCCTGGAGCTGGGGAGGCAGACACTCTAGAAGAGTTGGTGCCCTAGTTGAGCCACAGAGAACATTAAAAGACTAAGCCTCAAAAAGAAGGCAAGCTGTGCCCCATGAGCTTGCAGGCAGGGCAGGAGATGTGTGCCCCCAACCTCCTTGGCAGCCTGAGCCTACACTCCAAGTTTTGGTTTATTTGGTGTTTCAGAGTTAAAGCTGGTACTTAGGATTTAATGTCCAACCTCTTAGGAGGGTTCTGCTGGGTCTCCACCTGGGAATTTAGAGGGTCTTCTCAGCCATGAAGCCTTAATGAACTCTCTTCTTCCAAGCCAGGCTCCGAGGCTTGGGAGTCAATAATAACAGTTTCTCCTCTGCCCATCCTTTCCCATGGGGTGACTCATCAACTCCTCCCCTCTTTTCCCACCCCCACCCCTAAAGGTGTCATCTCTCCCTAGACTGAGCCATCTGCCCTCCTCCCCTTACCCATTCCTGGGGCTCTGATTACCATGGCAACGGCCACACTAATTGCAGTCCTCAGCCCAGCCCATGGTTCAGACCTCAGATGCCAGCATCTCTCTACATCCTAGGTGGGAGGGAAAAGAAGGCTGAGTGAGGGGTGGGGGTGGGAGGGTGGATAGAGGAGAGGGTGCTGGGGTCCCCTCCTCTGTGTCAGCTGCTGCATTAATATCCTCAGCTTCCCCTCCCCCTCCATACATACATCCACTAATTTAACCCCCTTTCCCAGGTTAGACTTTGGTCTCTGGGTGCTGCTGGGTGGGAAGGCGGGAGGGAGCTAAAATCTTCTCATTTGTAATATGGAACAAACCATGGCTACCGCTGGTTTGGCAGGAAAGCCAACCTGTTGGCATCAGTGTAGGACCCACTTAAAATTTTCCAATTCCAGAAACCTCCTGAGACCAAAGTCCATCCCAAGTCCCTCCTCTGCTATTATTCCTCCCTCTTACTCTTCCACATTCCTTTTTCTACTCCGATCCATAACTCCCTACCTTTTCCCTTCCTCATCGTACTTTTTCTCTACCCTAGTCCCCAGTTGGACTCCCCTTGTCTCCTTCCCTTCTTTCTCCTGGATTTTTCTTCTTTATTTCCCTTTATTTCTCTCTCCTTCTTCTTCCTCTTTCCATCCTTTCTCCCTTCCTTTTATCTTCTCATCCCATCTCCCTTCTTTCTCTTTTCCTCCCTCCTATCCTATCCTGTTCCTCTCATTCTCCGCTTCCCTCCCCCCATCAGCCCCCTTCCTTTTCCCATCCCCAGCCGCATGGCATGGAGTTAGAAGTGTGTGTTCTGTTTTTCCCCCTTTTGTGTTGTATACCCCTTCCCCCTCCCCACCTCCCTCCAGGAGAGGGTGGAGCTGGCCGTGGGACGGAGTGAGCTGGAGGCCCGCCAGGCGCTGTATGATGAGCTCAAGACACAGCTCGATAACTGCCCCGAGTCTGTTCGGGAACAGTTACAGGAGCAGCTGAGAAGGGTCAGTTTCACGAACCACTAGCCCCTATCCTGACTCCCCTGCCATGGTCTTGGAGCTGCCTTCAGGGGCCCTCCCTCAAGCAGAGAAGAGAGCAGAGTGGACGGTGCCACCGGGCAGGATGGCAGTACCCTGGATGAGCCTTCCTTCGAGGGCTCTGCAGAGGAGTGGGCATGGAGTTGGCCCTTTCCATCTTCCTCCCCTCCCCCTTAATCAGTTATGTTTTTGGTACTTTCTGCCACCTTTGGCCTGGGCTCTAAGATGCCCTTTTGGTACCAGATAAAGGGGCATAAGGGTAGAGCTGAGCCCAAGGGGAGGGTGGGTGGAATGTTTTTCCCCTCAATCCCAGAAACATCTCACTATGTAGAACGCCTCTTTGTGGCCCTTGTATTTGCCGCCTCCCTGGTAGTCTGGCCCACCAGGCCCCAGACTGGCAAGGCGGACTACAACTGAGTCCCAACCTCTTCCCCAACCATTGTTATCAAAGGAAGCTGAGGCTCTGGAGACAGAGACAAAACTCTTTGAAGACCTGGAGTTCCAGCAACTGGAGAAGGAAAGCCGCTTAGAAGAGGAGCGGGAGCTGGCTAGCCAAGGACTGCTCCACAGCAGGGCAGAGTTGCATCGGAGCATTGCCAAGAGAAAGGTGGGACCTCCCCTTCTCCAACTTGAAACCCTTCCCCCTGGGCCCCTGCCTTCCCAGGGAATGATCAAGTCAACCTATACCCTGTCAGAGCTTTTGGTGGGGCAAGTGGATTGAGAGTGGGCAGCCTGGGGCAGAGAGCCACTCAGCAAGCATTTATTAAGCACTTACTATATACCAGGCACTATGCTAAGTGCTAGGGATACAAAGGAAGGGAAAAACATGGTCCCTGACCCGAAGGAAGTCACGTTCTAATAGGGAAGACAACATGTAAGTAACTGGGTACATATATGCACTCATACCAAGTAGGTGGCAGGTCATCAAAAAGGAGGAGACATGAGGAGCAGTAGACCTAGAAAGACCTCCTGGAGAAGGTGAAATTTGAGCTGAGTCTTGGAAGAAGCCAGAGACACCAAGAAGTGGGAGTGAGGGGGCAGAGTATTCCAGGCATGTTGGGCAGCCAAGGCAAATGTATGGAGAGAGGAGCTACAGGCAGGCCAGTGAAGCCAGACTCTAGAATGTGTGGAAGGGACTAAGGCATGAGAATAATGAAAAGATAAAAAGCGGCCACTTCATGAAGGGCTTTACATGCCAAACGGAAGAGTTTTATTTGACTCTGGAGGTAGTAAAGGACCATTGGAGCCCAATGAGCAGGAGGTCAACCCTCCCACTTAGAGGAGTCACCTTGGCAGCTGATGGGAAGATGGATTGGAGCGGGGAGAGATTTATGAGGAGGAGACTGGTTAGAAGGCCGTTGCCATAGGCTGGACGAGAGGGGATGAGGCCAGAGCTAGGGGGTGACTGTGTAAGGAGAGCAAAGGGGCCACGGAGGAGATATTGTGAAGATAGGAACAGCAAGCTCGCACCTCAGATTAGATATCTGGGCTGAGAGGGAGGGGTTGAGGATGATGGGACTGAGATTTTGAGCTGGGGTGACTGGGAAGATTGTGACGCGCTTTAACAGTACTAGCAGATCTAGAAGAGGAAGTGATTGGGGGGCGGGGGGATGAATTCTGTTTTGGACATTTTGACTTTGAAGTGCCTATGGGGCATCCGGTTCAAGATGTCCAAGAGGTGTTTGGTGATGGATGACTGGAGTTCAGGAGAGAGACTGGGGCTGGGAAAAAGTCTGGTATTCCCCTCTCAATCCAGTGGGAGATAAGACGCAAAAACTGAGAGACCTAAGTAGCTATAGGCAGCTGAGGAAGACGTAAGAGCTTTCAGGGTATGACGTAATAGAGAAAAATAGATCAGGGGATAGAGGAAGGAGGTGGTGGTGAGTGTTGTTTATCCTTCATTTTCAAAGAGGACCAAAGATTCTATCTCAATTCTTACCCAGCCCTTGGAAGGAGGTTAATTTAGAGAGAGCTTCCTAAGAAGAATTGTTGTTCATGTTTTACATGACCCCATGGACAAAGTCCTTGGGGTTTTCTTGGCAAAGATACTGGAGTGGTTTGCCATTTCCTTCTCTGGTGTATCTCTGTTTTACAGATGAGGAACTGAGGCAAATAGGGGTCAAGTGACTTGTCTAGCTAGGGTCATGCAGCTAATAAGTCTCTGAGGCCAGATTTGAACTCAGATCTTCCTGGCTAGCTCAGGGTTTCATCTATTGCACCACCTAGCTGCCCCTCCAAGTAGAGATGAAGGTGAACAACACTTTGTGGGAGGTGAGAGCTGTGACTTGGTGGAGAGGCAGTAGAAAGAAGCATGATTTGGGCAGAGTGAATGACTGACTGAGTGGGACAGGAGAAGAACTGTGTATGAGAAGGGAGACTCCATGTGAGGGAGTTATGGGAAAGGAGAACAATGTCATAGAAGAGGTAGGCAGGAAGGACCTTGAAACTCAGCAGACAAGTTTGGGAATGACTGAGAGCTGTCTGGCGGTCCCAATTTTTCTGATGTCTTCCTTGTGAACCCAACTGATTTTAGTTCATCTTCCCATCTTTAGTGATTGCTCAGGGAGGGAAGGTTGGAAGTAGACAGTAGGTAAACTCAGGCAGGCAGGCAGGTGTAGTGGCTAGTGTCAAGAATACCTCAGTTCAAATCCTGCCCCATCCATTTACTAGCTGTGTGACCCTGGGCAAGTCACTTAACCCCGTTCGCCTCATTTTCTTCATTTGTAAAATGGCAAACCACTCCAGTATCTTTGCCAAGAAGACCCCAAATGGGTCATGAAGAGTTGGACACAACTGAAAAACGACTGAACAACAACAGAGGGTTGTTATGAAGATAGAGTAAGATAATGTGTGTGTGTATATATACATATATATGTAAACCCTTTCCAAATACTAAAGTGCCATATAAATGTTGTTATCATCATCATTATTAGTCCTGTAGTCTTGTCCCTTTATAGTTCTGATGCCCTGTGGGGAGAGCCTAAACTCAGTTAAGTCTCATGAGTGAGGTTTAGGTGCATGATCTGTGCCAAGGTGATTTGTTCATTTTATAATCTCAAACCAGTTGGAAAGCTTTGTGTCTCTAACCATCTTTCAGTGACTCCATGATCCCATTAGAAAGGGTGCCCCTTCTAACTCTATGGATCATAAGTCATGAACAGCTTTTCATCCTGAGTAGTGCACATCCACATCTCTCCATAAATGATCCACCCAACACGTAGGAGGCCTTCCTCCCTCTTTTCAAAGTATTTTGTGGATTCTAGTGCAACATCCAGTCTTCTCTACTTGTTTTGTCCTTAGTGATGTCTTTTACACCATTTCTTGTGTGTGAGTCATCTCTGGCTCTAATCCATAGCCAACCTAACCTCCTTGCCATCTCCCCTCCCCTCACACCCTATTTGAGTTGGTTACTGCAATTTTGATTCTCCTGACATCAAGGTGTTATCCTTACATTTCCACACGGCGACATCAAAAACACATCTTTTGAAACTCTATTATTCTCCTGGTGATGAATAGAATCACCACCTGGAGAATTGTTGGTTTGTCCTTTGTTTTTGAAGAGGACCTTGGCATCAGGAAGGTGATGTCATGACATGCAAGTGAATTGGATTTAAGTGAAGGAGGGCTGTGGAAAGTCACCGGCCTCACTTTCTTCTCCAGAGCCATCTGGGTCTGATATATCTGATATAGATCAGGATGACCGGAGATGGCCCTGGATTCAGTGGGATACCTTGACCTTTTTAAGCTAAGGTCTTTAACAGGTCTCAGTTTGACTGAGATTGCCCATTCAGTGATTAAAGCTGGGTAAGAAATGAGTCAGAGAATGGCCTCTTTTACCTTGTCATAATAATAATAATAATAATAATAATAATAATAATAAT